TTTATGCACAATTCCTCATAGGGTCTTGTCTCAGCAAAGAATTACTAGAAAGGAGTTTGATCCATCAAATAAGTATTTTATCCGAAATACCTTCCACCTCCTCGCCCTGATCCGTCCCCGTTTCCAATCGTCTCATGATGATTTGCATTTTCTTTTTGTCCGAGTTCTGAAATGCATCTAATAGCTGCCGACTTGTTTCTGGGCTGTTACAGTCGTTCGTTCCCCCACACCAACATCGTACATTTCCCGAATGTTTTCGTACGCATCCTGGAATGAATAGCATCAATGAGGAGTGGCATTTATATAGGTGAAATGTTTACAAGATTTGCTTCTTGCGATTGTGAGTGGGGTTTTTATCCTGAAGTTCAGGGGAAAGAAATATCAGGGTGGGCAAAATATCATGGAAAACTTTCTAAGATTCTCAAGATAAGTGGTTGAACGCCATTTTATTTGGAATAGCAATTTTAAAAGCAGAGAATCCATTTGTAGTATATCTTGCATGCAAATAGAGAGGGAGGGATAAAAGAGAACAGGTTTTGAAATTACAGGGTTATTTGATGGTTGAAACGAAATTTTGTTTTAATAATCTACTTGTTTTATCGGAATTCCTAGAATTTTCTTCCTTACCAAACCTATATGTAGCATTTTCCATCAATGGCTAACCTGCTATTCCCTCATATTCGCCTGGATATACACAAACCAGCTGATTTCTGTCGTACAACTTTGACCACTCATACCATTCCACATGATCAGATCGAGCTTTTATTCGACATCCGACTGCTGCTGTAGGGCAAGCTTCTGATGTGAAGCCATAGCCTGAAAAATCTGGATTAAGAATGATATTTTAGCCTTTTCCAGTTCTTGGAGAAAAAAAACTGGTTTTCTTTAAGTTCAGTAACCGTTAAGTGATTTGCGATCAAAATGTATGGATTTGTAAGAGTAAGGTAGGTAAAGTATATAAGATGAGAATATTTGAGTAAAATGGTGGTAAAATAGATCATATAGAAAATATGATGATATCTTGTCAATTTTATTCACAAGCCTTTCAATGTTTCTTTAAGGCAGCCTAAAATGTAAAAAAAATCTAATTATTTTTCTAGATTTTTTATGATATATAAAAAGTTCTATTTAATTATCAGGACCCAATGTGTTCTGCTTTTTTCACTTCTCTATGAAAAAATTGATTTGATTAAAGAAAACCCGTCAGAATTTTATTATATGTATCCTGGAAAGATATGATGCACCTGTAACCTTGCTTAATTATCAGTCGTAACCTAACCTCGATTAATCTGACAACCTAGCAGGGTTGTCGGCGCTTGGCTAAGGCCTTATTAGGCGAAATTATGGTCGGCGCAGCTCAAATATTTGAGCGACCCGAAACAATAAATTTGAGGATTTACAGCCGAGTTGCATTGGAAATGCACACATACGGGTTGGCAGCACACGCACAATTGCACAGCAACCAATGCTGTTCCAAAAGAGTGCATGGGAAGTGAGAGTGTATCAGAGATATGGAAGCTATAATCATCCCATGAATCAGCAAATGATCCGGGAATCCCCGTTTAATGTGCGTGTTTGTCCGGGCTTATTTACTCTTAGCTTCCGTCGCAAAAGTAACGAGGATATGTAGCCTTGCACGGTTGTGTTGTTTTGCCCTCTAATCTTCATTCATCTTCAATGTGATTCGCCGAAATAGCCGCTGGGAGTGATGAAGACCCGCGGGACTTCGCCTGGACCCATGGAATCACTATCCCGAAAATAAGCATATTACTAATGGCGTGAAACGAATCCCCGCGCGCGTTCGACACTACTGCGGGTGGTGCGAATTTGAGATGATTTGCAGCAATCAGTGTGCGGGTCTAACACAGCTTTACGAAATCCCGACACTCTACTGTTTTGCGTTGCAGCAGTGTATTTGATTGCAACATAGGGAAAAGAAGGGAAATTGGCAAAAACTCAACGAAGTTGCGTCCACGCATTTGTCCCTAAAGCTGGAAATTCTCTAAATCATACGTAATGCATGACGTGACGAAACTTATCCTATACATTTTTAACTTCTGGCTTGGGCGATTAAACATTCTATAAATTCTAGTTTTTAAATTAGTTTTCAAATCTCAATTTGCAAGAATCTAATCTTCTTGTTGAGAAATAGTTTAACGCTTTCTTTTTTACGGAAATTGATCCCATTATTAAAACAATTAGCTAATTTTTACGATATTATAATACAATTATCTGCGAATCATTAGCGCTGAAAGAAAATTTTTTTTAATAAAGAAGATTATTAACACCAATATGTAATATAGAATATAGATGATTATTTCTTTCTTTTATCTATATTTTATGTTTTCTATTATCTTTGTTCCCTGTCAGCGGAAGCCTTTTCAATTTACTTTGATTTCTAAAAGAGTGAAAAAAAATACTTTCGTTTGAATTGCTGAATAAAAATGCTAGTGGTTTTTTCTAGGAACTTTCTCATATGCGTAAAAAGAAATCTGGTTTAATGTGCTATTTCAAATTTCAAAGTTAACTCTGATGTCAGATGTCAGTTTCTATGAAGCGTCTGGGTAGATTTGTCAAAGATAGCCGGGAATGGCTACG